GAGGTTTGTTTGAGTGGTAATCCTGTCCAAACATGTTAGTGTCTGCATGTATCCCAATAAAATATAGCTCTGGATTTCTCAAAACACATTGCGAGCATTACAGACTACACCCCGACAAAAAAAGACTTAACTATTGTAAATTATTTGACCCCTACGGCTCCCTTCTGATCTTTGAGACCAACCAGAGCACTCCATTGTGATTTCCATGTCCTGGACATAATTTTGTGAGATGATTTGCACAGTTCCAGTTATCTTACTTAACATTACAATACAGCTGAATGTTCTGTCTGAATTTAAGACCAAAGTTCTTCAGTTACCTGGTCTAGGATTGGCTCAAGCAGAGCTACAACAGTCAACTCCCCCAAGGTCCTCACTTTGCAATCAAAATTAAAACTACCAAATGTCTCTTTATGTATGGTTTCCAGTGTTGAGAGTAGGAAACTCCTTGGTGCTTGAGTCTGTCACACCAGAAACAATGAGTGATCTTAAGTGAGGGCGAAAATGCACCTTATCTGCATGCATCAATGAAGAAATGTATCAATCCCCTTTCTTATTGGTGCCCAGTAGTTGTTGCTTGCTGACAACAGGAAAGGCTTTTCGTTACTTCTGTTTCCCGTGTAACCTTGCCTAATACTATTACATACTTCAGTTAGTGGGCGCTATGAAGTACGTGGTGCAAGAATGCAGTGATGTAATGTTCCGGTTTTCTCTGTAGGAGTGCAGAAACCCATGCTGCAATGCCACCAGCTGCACCTTCTCCCAGGGATCAGAGTGTGCTGCTGGAGAGTGCTGTGGAGACTGTAAGGTAAGGGCCTGTATCATCCACCGCCTATTTCCACAGCCTCTGTACAACATCGCCAGGGGTCTGGTGAACATGCAGTTACATGTCAAGGTTTGTCACTTATCAACAAAAACATCACACAAATCGCAAAACTGAGGTAAAAAAAAAAAAAAAAAGCTGAACTAAGGTTCAAGGTGAACTCTAAGCAGACTGATGGTGAAGTTGACTGTTCCTAATGCCTTATAATACCTCCATCTTGTGGCCAAATATAAATCCTGCTAAGATGTATGGCATGTTTTTAAAACTAGATAACTCGGTCGCCACTGGGACCGAGTCGTGCATCTCCCCGATCCCCAAATTTAGGACAAGATGGCCGCCGGCAGCCATATTGGATGTCTAAAATTGCAGAAAATCAGTCTTGAGCATTGTCAAATAAATATCTTTGCCTGTGCAAAATTAGAAAAAATTCCTGTGATTATTTTCACTTCCAGAGACCGGAACAGAAAATCTCTGCGGGCGCGGCGGTGGCGGCCCCGGAACTAAACCATAGTATCTTCCGACTATCGTCGTTGGGGAGATACAATAATAGATATTAAAGATGCAAACATCATAAATTAAACATGTATTTGAGCGATTACCAACAAACGATTATTGTTACTGTAACCAAATCAGCAACAGGCCTTGTGTGCATGTCTGTATATCATTTCACCAGCAGGTGGTGAACAGTACAAAATATCAAGTGATTTTACTTGTTCTCTGCAAGCCGATAATGGAGTCTTTCATTCAAGAACATCCCTCTCAGGATTTCTTCCATTACCAAAATCTCAGTGAAACAAACTTATCAGTTTCGGAGGAATTTCAAAATGGCTTTCCTCTTTGGCTTAAATCTCAAAGCAGATGGAGCTCCATCTCACGACTGTTGTGTGTGCAGATACTGCCGACCTCGCACATGTGCAGACAGCAGCAGGATGAATGTGACTTGGCCGAGTACTGCACGGGGAAGTCTGCGGACTGCCCAGAGGACGTCTTCGCTGTCAATGGATTACCCTGCCAAGACGAGAAAGGGTACTGCTACAACGGAGAATGCCCACAGCGAGAGGATCAGTGCGTCAAGATGTACGGACGTAGTAAGTGCAAATTCAGTCAGTTCTTTTTTTTTTTTTTTAATCTCTGCCTGACTTTTCAAAACACACAATACACAATTACATCATAAATGACATTTCTCTTCACAGTATTATCATGTTCTTAACTAAACACACTATGGCTGAACTCACAACAACTATTGGTGACTGAAAGTAATGGAGCTCATGAATACATGCATAGAATTGTGTTTAAAAAAAGTCCTACTTTTCAAAAAGCTAAAGACTAGGAAATATATGAGTTAAAGGCCTGAGTGTCGCATAGTTGTGTGTCCAGTGACGTTTAGTGTTCCCATAATCCCCGCGCAGCCAAGGCCACGAGAAGCTACTGTAGTTACACAAGGATCCTTTTGTTTCTTCAGCGGCTGTGGTGGCAGACCAGTTCTGCTATAACCAAAACACCAGGGGAACGTACTATGCCCACTGCAAGCGAACAGGCGCAAATACATTCATCGGATGCCAGAGACAGTAAGATCCCGTTTAGCATAACTCTGCAGAGGGACAAGCTCCATTACAGTCATGACTCCGAGCACGTTAATAGTGTGACCTCTCTTCCTGCAGAGACATTATGTGCGGAAAGCTCTTCTGCCTTCAAGGCAATGACAGCCCAAACTACGGCCGCCTGGTGAAAGTGGGAAAATGCAAAGCGACATTCTATGGTGATCCGGACGCAGACTACGGCCAGGTGGATACAGGAACGAAGTGTGGGGACGGGATGGTAAGAATGCAGCTGCAACCGCAAGAACCTTTGCACGTATACATCTACTTCTGTTGAATGAGCACTCAGTAAAGCCCGCGGAAGCAGTTCACAATGGTTACTTAATGTGTTATCGGTCACTGTAATTCAGTATGCCAACTTCGATACGATTTGCTGAACTCTACCTCCCAACTTTCATTCATAGGTGTGCAGTGATTACCAGTGTGTCACACTGGAAACGGCCTACAGAGCGACAAACTGCTCAGCGCGGTGCAAAGGCAAAGCGGTAAGCCTGGTGCACTGTGGGTAACATAACCCCAGAACCTCCTCAATGCTACCACAGATCTCAAACATACATGTGTGTGCAATTCTCTGCATGAAAGTACCACTTGCATTCTCAGAGGCTACAATGAGGCAGGAGGGACATCTGATTAAACGGGATGTATTGTTTAACTTCAACAATGCACTTTAGCAGGAGGCAAGAAAATAGCCTCACTCCCGCTAGCACTAATGGGCACCAAACATTTTTGGCCACTACCTGGGCCAAAACACTGTTGATAATGCTAGCGAGTGCACGTTTCCTGCTCTCTGAGTGCTGTGATCAATGTACCTTTCAGAATATAGTAGCACTCATCCTTAATAATGAATGCCCAATACGACAGTAGTCCAGAGATGACATAAAAAACTTAGCTGTCATAGGAAATACCCATTTGTGACGACTCTGAGGAGTCATTTCTGTTTCCTCTATGAAGGGGGGGTCGGGTGGGGGTGGGTTCCAGTGATGTGTCTCAATGGCCATTTTTAAACATTTGGCAATATTATGCTCCCAGGTGTGCAACCACAAATCAGAATGCCAGTGTTTGCCTGGATGGTTACCTCCAGACTGTGATGCAGAAGATGAGAGCGGTAAAATTCTGCCCAGAGGTAGGAGCTGTCCTTGGCCATTTAGTCCTTAGTTGTGTAAGCATAAGAGATTAAAGAAGCAGCCTTTGAATGGATTGAGTTCCTGTTGCTATTAAATGGAAATTAACAAGCTTCTCAACAACAAATTGTCACGAAATGTACACCTGACAGGAGCTGACCATTCATTTTAAGTCAACCGCACAAGAAAACCACTTTCTCATTCATTTCAGAGCCAGTGTTTGGTTGAATAGAAAACACTACGTCTGGAAGGGCAGGCTTCTGTGTATTTAAAAATCTTCGTCAGCCAATATTTTTTTTTTTAAAACATGTCAGGTTATTTTCCCCAAGGGAAGGCTTACCTACAGCGCAACAGTTGAAAATATAGTGCATCTTTCACGTTATAACAGGCCTGAAATGGGCTGGTAATGCTTGATCACTCCTGAGACAAGATATCTGTGCTGTTAGAAATGCATTCACACTCAGCACAGGTGTTCAGCTCCAGTCTGGAAGGGCAAAAGGAGCAGTGGGTATTTGTTCGTGTTCACAGCTCCAATTGTTTGCTTAGGTTATTAACCAGAAAAATGATCTCCTCTCCATATTCTCATTGACCGTGGTTATATGCGGTATAATCTCTTTTTCTGAATATTACAACATTCTGAATTTGATAATGGTCATATAAGGCCCGTTTCCACCGAAGAAGTTCCTGGTTGTATTTGGGGGGCAGGAACTACTACAGGAACGTCCTCTCACTCGGCCCTCTCGACTGCCGTGTCTCCACCGAGAGGGCGAAATAGGAGAGAGGTTCCTGTAAAGTTGTGTGACGTCCTTTTAAAAATGCAACCCCTCGTCATCTGCTGAGTTTTAAAAATGCCGGCTATTTTGTCGCTTTCTATTGACGTCACATCCCGCCCTGAGTAAATCCAATCAGCGCCAAGTAAACCTCAAACCCCACCCAGGAGTTTTTCAGGGCCGTTCAGAGTACCTACTCCAAGGCAGGGACTTTTTAAGCCCCTGTAAAAGTTCTGGAACTCTGTCGTTCGGGGATTGTTCCAGCGGTGGAGACACGCAACAACGGCCCGGCCCCATAAAATTACCCCGAAGTTCCTGCGGTGGAAACGGGCCTATAAACAGTACATTCTGTTTGGAAATTCAAAATGAGGCCTTATTCCAAATGTAATATTTCTGCTTCAGGACACATCAGACATGCCAATATTATTCAGGCTTTAGAGGCCTTGTTTGATAAGATGCTTTTTATTGAACACTGTGGCGTGATTTGTCCTCTGCATTTAATCCATCCCATAGTTAGGTGCAGTGGGCAGCCAAAGAGCAGCGCTAGGGAACCAACTCCAGTTCTAAAGCCAGTTCCTTGGTCAGGGGCAGTAATAGGAGTGTTCCTGTAACACATTTTTCTGGGTGGGGCAAACCAGAGTACCCCTATTCGAACACAGGGAGAACATGCAAGCTCCACGCAGGGAGGCCCTGGCCGGCCAGGGCTCGAACCAGGAACCACCTTATTGTTAGGCAGCAGTGCTAACCAATGTGCCACTGCGCCACCCACCGTGGGTATGTATTCAGCGCAATATGCATCTCAACTGGGTATTTTACCAGTTTGCAACACATAGCTGTCTGTTGATGGTCAGCAAAGCCTATATTACGAGTCGGAAACACTCCGACTTTTAAACTTTGACAGAATTGTATATTAAAAGGATTTTGGAAATGTCTCAAGAAATGATAGCGGCAGACTGAGTTCACAAGGTGAAGAAAGTCCGCCACAGATGGAAAACAGAGAGAATCCTGTTTTGAGTGAGGTACGCACAGCTGTATAGGGACAGGAATATTAGTGCAGTATTCATTTTCATTAGCTATGCAAGCAGCCTAGTTGGAATTGCGTCATTTTTTAAATGAGAGCAAGAAACAGTATTCTCTGCTTGAAATGAAGCCAATGTCTCAGATGGCTGATGGCAACATGTAAACCATACATACCTTATGCGTACACAACTAGGGACTAAAGCATAAATCCAGAAGCTGTTTTGACCATACACGCCTGCTAGACCAGTTTGGGTCGTTTGGCTCCTCCTGCTCTCTGCTCCTGCTCATTCCGCTCAAGACTGCTGTCTGTCCTGGCCCCCCATTGGTGGAATGATCTACCTATCAAGGTCAGGACGTCAGTGTCACTGAGCATCTTCAGGCACAGCCTGAAAACTCACCTCTTCAGGCTCCACCTCTCCACTGCTTGACTGCCTTCGGTGTACCTCTCCTTATGTCACATGCCATGATGCCCGAGTCTCCTTTTGTTAACTGTGCTGGTCATTTTTGTTGTTGGTAACTGTGCTGGTTTCTTTGGGTTGGCTACGGTTCATCCTAGTTCTACAACTTTCACTTAGTGTGTCTTTTTTCACTTGATCTATTAGCACTTTAACTTGTCTCCTTGGAGCTCAGCGCTTTTGCACTTTGTACATCGCTCCGGAGAAGAGCATCAGCTAAGTACATGTAATATAATGTAATGTAATGTAAACCACATAATAAAAAAATAAAAAATAAAAAAAAAACCCAGACTATCCGAGGACTCTTAGTTTGAAGACCCTGACTGGATTTCTTATTTCTCTTGCCCTGTTTGTGATGCATAGTAGTTTGTACCTGATAGGTTGAACTGCTGCTCACCATTGGACATGGTATCATTCCAGGTGGAATCATTGGCATTGCTGTGGCAGCTGTTCTGCTGCTTTTGATTGGTGCGGTTGTGGTAGCTACTTCAGTTCTGAAGCGCAGAAAGAAAGGTCCAAGCTTTCAGACGACCCTCCCAACACACAAGAAGAAGCCTGGTTTGAACAACACAGCCCTCCCTCAAGAACGACTGGCAGTAAACCCTCCAGCAAACACACCGGTACTGCACCTTACTTTACTTTTTGTTCACATGGCATCTCTATGTCAGGCTGAACTTCATTATTTCTCAGACTTATCTTGAGATTGCATTTGGAATCGGTTTTAATGTTCTAATAAAATTAACTTCCTCTGGGATACTTCAGTTTAGAGGTTGGTAATATTTTTGGCCGCCATCATTTAGTTTCAATCGCAGTTAATGCAGACGAGAAAAAGTCTTGATATGATGGGGGTTCACCTGTTCACTCACATTTCAATCTCAATGTTTCAGCCTCTACGTCCTCGAGCGCCTCCGCCTCCACCCCCGGTCTCCATTCAGACCCGGCAACCTGCCACCAACCTCGTTGCTGCACGTCAGGTAACAATTACGACCGGCCAAAGAAAATCAGATCAAATGCCTTTGTGCCCACAACAACCACAGGCGGTCATTCTATCCTAACAACCAGCAACACCATCTTATGCCTGTTACGATTCTTCTATTTTTCATGCGCATGTTTGTACACTCGTGGGCCATTAGTCCAGGTAGTGAACCACTGTGCTAAAGGATCAAATTATTATTGCATATAGCTTGCAAACATTGTCAAAGGCTAAATTAAGGGATATATGCACAATGTTACATTTTTACTCCTCTCCAAAGCTGGCCTGCAATGCCGGTTGGAATTATGTCACGATTAACTTTATTCCCACTGTACTGCTCTATTCCCAATATTGTACTTCTGACAACTGGTCATTATACCATGAACAATTACTTGTACAGATCTTGTTTGACACTGATAAAAATGTTTTTCACCCCCAACATGGTTGCCAAAATGGTTAATTTGAACAAATTGACTTCCATAAAGAACCAGTCATCAATATTTGGTGTGACTGGCTCATCTTCCTCGCACAAATATCTAGACAATGACACATCCCCTATTATGACAATACTAAATAGCAGCCATTTTGAAAAATGGCTGCCATGGCTCCTAAGGACAAAATTCCAGAGGGCTCAATATCTATACTTACTCAGGGTGTGTCTATCTACATGTGAGCCAAATTTGGTGCTTTAAGACAAAACTGAACAATTGCTTCCTCATGCCGCTAGACTAATTAATATGTTCACTTGCACGATGTTCCAAAGGGGTGTTTTTCTGAAAATTCCACAACTTTTCCCATTTTTCAATTTCCAAGTCTCAATGATCGTTTAGTAGAAACATTAAATATTTTTCTCTTTGCCATTTTCAACTAAATATTGCTTAAAAGAAATTTACAAATCACAATTACATTTATTTGCATTTTACATTCTAGCGTAATTGATGTATTTCAAATGGACAGGGTCTAAAACCACACATCAATCTAAAGCTGAGATTAAAAAATCTGAAAATGTATGATCAAATTTATTGTTAAGCTCAGAGTAACCTGCAAGGCTTCAACGCAGAGCATCTATGCAAATGCACAGATCATACAATTTCATAGAATTAATGAAAACGCCCTTCTCTCTCTCACAGGCCCTGAAACCACCAAACCCCAGGGTCTGAAATCCCAGACAGCAGGCTCAGACAGCCAAGGTGTGCTGCTGAAGACACCCTGTTAATTCCAGCTGAGAAGATCAAGCAGAGCTACCAACAGATTGAATCACAGTTAATACTCCTTCAGGAGATTCCATTAGTGCTGTGCCTATTCCAATGGACTGTCCAGCAGGATTTGGAACAGGAACAATCATACACTCCCTTGGACCACTGTGGCTCGAGAGCACAAAATTTGCGCTTTTCTCTTTTTGAAGGGCACTTTACTTAAACTCACTGAAAAACCACAATGTAGATGGTCATCAGTGTGTATGGTTTTCAGTGGGGATTTGCACTGCTGTTACTTGCACAATAGATTTTCTCACTGGTGATCAGCCACTATGAAAACAGTGGGAATTGCACAGATGGACTCGGTCAGTCAGACTGCCCGTTGTTAAACAAAGGAAAATAACGAGATCTTGGTGAAAAATGTACAGCTTCCATCTGACTGAAAAATAATACATCATAACACAGAATATTACATCAATATTTAAGAATATTAGACAAAAATTACTGCATTAAATTGTGTAGCTTAAGGAAACTCTGGGCACATGTTGAACGAAAAATGCTGTTTAGTCAAATAATTTTTTTTTTTACTGTGTTAATGTGGACCAACTCATATGGACAGTTTCACAAGTCAGGACTTTGCATCAAGTTTCTTAAGCATTTAATGGAGTAAAATGCATTGTTGAAATGTCTATTTGTATGCATTTTTCTAGTTGCTAGTGATATTTTGCATTGGTAATAATTCAAATTGAAAATCTGGGAATTTTACTCATATTATTTATTTTTTTGTACTGTCATTTCAATTTTGCTATTCACTTGTAAAGTACAGTATTATAAAATACTTATTTGTGCGCAGGCATAACTTGAATCTGTACGCACACTTATGAACACCCATCCCTGCACACTGTCCAGATGTATACAACCATTTGTGCCAAGAACCATCTTGGTAGCACTAAGTCTATCAATGCCTACTGCACCACAAATTCAAAATGGAATCAGCTTAGATCTGTATATCGCATCAAGGGTACCTCATAACTGCATTATGTGCCTTAAATACAAGCTACAACACACCATTTCAAACTCCCTTCCTGCTGATTTTTCCATAGATTGCAGTCAGACATGCAGATGCATTAATCCTGAAGTGCAGGATTGTAGGTTTTGTTTTGACCATCTTCGAGATTTCTGAAATTAGCCAGCTTATTTTCCATCCATAACACCTGAAACGTCAGAAATGGTAACCTTGGAAACGGTCTGGCAGTCTAGCTGACAATTAAGAGGTACAGTAGTTCAGTAGCACAAGTACGCTTTACCAGTTTGCATCCTGTCAGAGGAGGTTATAATTTCATCTTTCTGACTGCTAGACACCCAGCCGTATCAACAGCAGAATACAGGAATTCATTAAAAATATGAAGGGCACTGCATTTGAAATGAGAGCCAGAGAAAACAAAATAATAACCATGACAATGTTCATGCCAGAATCTCCTCCAGATTGAAGGAGAACAATTACAAAGAGGACTGAGCACCGGCTTTCAGTGGGTCGTGGGGAATGGGTACAGCAAGGACATTGTTCAGCAGGGCACTGGCATTTTCTGAATGCTTTTCATCAGGGTGAATCCTGTGTAAGTGAACAGAGTACATTTTGAAGAAGAAAAGAAAAAAGAGAGACCGTAATATACCCATTGCAGGCAGAATGTGGGAGGGCTGAAATCCCTCCCAGTGTTGATCTTCCCAAAGCTTTAGTGCACAAATACTGCCTCCACATTCTCCTCGAGGTGTGTCTGCCGCCATTGTTTCAGTTCATCTGTGGGCAATGCACTGCTTTTAGTAAAGATGCACACGTGATTATGTACATTTTATTTTATTATTTTTTTGAAGTGAAACATCTACATAAATCAGAATTTATAGAGCCTTGCAATACAATTATTTCAACAAAATGTATCTTTTTTTGCCGCCCCCCACGCGCAAATGTCTTCCATGTTTTTTTTACAGCTATTCAGAAATTCTTAATAAACTATATTTCTGTACATTCTGCAGGATATGTTTAAAACTTTTACAGATCCTTCATGCCACAGTAGATCCTTTTAAATTAAGTGAAAGACAAAAAAGGTATTTCTGCACAGCC